TACTGTGCTGTACACCAACAGCTACTTCATTAGGTACACAATATCCAACACTCTGCATGCTCTGGATGCATGCCACCCTAGAATTAAGTATGGATCAAAAGCTTATGAATCAAATGCCAACTCCACTGCCTACTCTTTAAGGAAATGCATGGGGAAAAGCCTCACTTGTTGCACTGATGGAAGACAATATTCCTCTGTACAAAGATGGGCTTTTTGGAATAGTAACTGAGAGAAAGTGTACACACCTTCTGGAAAATATTAAGAGAAATATGAGATGTTATTTTTGAGAAAGAATTGGGGGCTTAAAAAATAATTTTCCTCATCATTAGGCCAGGCCATGTATTCTGCAGCCTCTGCAATGCACAAATAATGGAACGGCTACTTTGATCAGTTCATAATCTCTCCTGAACTGTGATTACAGCCTTCTTTTTTTAGGGTTTTTCATTGGGAGTAGTTCAGGAAACTTACAGAGCTAGGCCACATTTTTTTTTTAAACAGTTACACGTGCGTGCTTGACTTCATAGAATACAAATTAAATGAGAATAAACAAAGCTACTTCTTTAACAGGTCCGTAATTCTTTACAGGACAGGGAAGACTGGGGGAAAATCAGCTTATGATAAATCAACCTGGACACCATCATCACTTCAAAGTACAAAGAAAATAACATAAGCTCAGGAAAAACCAGCATCACTGCACACTGAGGATGAGAGTACAGGGTGACTTTTAGAAAGGTAAGCCAGCTGCTAGCCTAAATCTTAAAACAGTTGGATTCACTTCTCTGAATGTCCTCTAGGATACATGGCAGTGTCTCAGGGACACTTACAGCACGATATTCCAAAGTATTTGAGCAGTTAGAGGCTTAGGGGATTTTGTGAGCACTGAACAAGTCAATAGGACACTTACAGAAAGAAATGTAATGACTCTGCTTGTCATGTTTCTAGGTGACGCACCTAGAAGAAGGGCTGCAAGTATGGTGGACAACACTGGAATTCAAAAAAAATCTCTTAAATTTCAGAAATGGACTAAAACCAGAATTCAAAAGTAGGACAATGAGCATGCTTAGGCAGAAATAACCAAATGCAAAAGCTACAAGCAGGCTAACAGTTCCTAAGAAGATGGCCCAGAGTCTACAGAGTGGAACAGATGAATGTAAGCCAACAGGTCATGCTCTCATTAAGAAAGAAAACACTATACAGGA